GCGGTTTGCCACTCATCCACAACTCTCGGTTTCCTCAAGATTTCTTCGAGGGACCTCCCCTCCTTGGTTATTAACCGCAAACTCCACAATAAATTTCAGAATTCAACGAGCTACTGAGGTCGCCGTTTAGCGAGCAAAAGACTAGGTCCTCCTGAATTCCACCTTGTGTTGTGAAAAAGTCTTGGGTTCTTTACCTGGGAATCCAACACTTTTTGCAGGTTTTTTACCCTCATTTTTTTGTTGTTAGAGGTGAAAGGCGCAACAAAATGTGGAACATGCACCAACTCATGCGAATGTCGTCGGCAAACAAGAACATTCGCCTTCTCATCAGCAACCCCAAGCCGAAACATCACTGAATAAGTATCACCAATCCGGTTCGAGTAGTTTCAGGTTTTGACGTAAATTCTGTTTCGTGGCATTAGTCATCTAAGGAATGGATAGAGTGTAAATGGTGAAATCACAAAGTCTTGTTTCATCATTTTTTCGACACTGACCTTCCGCGTGATTGAAAACACATTTATTTGGCAATCTTATATCCACAAGCATATATACGCATTCAAAGCTCCCTCTGCCACTTCGAGCAATTTCAGAACTCGTCCTGGGTGTTCATTCCTGTCATCAGGAACCTATATGGGAGAAGGTGTTAAAGTGTGAGTCTAAAATGTGGCTGCTTTTGTTTCTGCATTATCGCCCTTTCTTACTTGGAAAAAAGCTGTGCTTCCAGAGCAACACAAGCCAAGAGTATTGTGTCGAAAAAGTTTGTGCGGGTTTGAAACAAATCTCGTGGAGCCAAAAAAGAAACCTTGCCATCGCAGTATGAGTATCTTTATCAACACCACTCACGCACAGTCACTGTCTCATTCTGTCGCATAATCCGTTCAATAAGACACAAACCAATCCCTCAGATCAGGAATCAGGTACGATGTACCCTCCAGCGGTAGCAATCACACAGCCAACTCGTTATTCTCTTGAAATCTCCCAAAAATGATTGCTGCTCTTCCACTTTGTATCGACCCTTGCTTGGTGCGTGAGAGGTACGAAATCGTATTCGTCGTCTTGAAAAAGCAGCACACCAAGAAAGAAGAGGTACCACCATATATATAAAACGAGATAGACGTACAACCATTTGTTATCTCGTTGCCCAACCAAGACTCTTCGAGACGGCCTTCTTCCATTCTGCTAATCTTGTTTCTCGTTCTAAGTTGTTTGCAGAATGAAACGGGTTGGTCTTCGTCAACTGCAAAAACCCCCCAGAAATTTACTAATACCTTCAGATGAGATCTTTGGCATAAACAAATCACTTCCATCACTCATGACAACATCATCTATACTCTTCCACAATTTGACTGCCAAACCAGCAGCGATCGCAGCTCCCAGCGCTGTGGATTCCCTCATTTTTGGCCTTTCTATAATGTAGGAATGTGTTCAGTGCACGAAGGGAAGGCGATCATTACAGGCGAAAAAACTATGAAATGTTTGCACAACAACCGTTTTTACCAACAGGTATTCCAAGCAGATCAGCTTGTATCTGCATACATATGTCCGAATTCGAAGCACCACCATCCACTTTGAGTAGTTTCAGGTCTTGTCCTGAGTCTTCATTCATTGCATCAATCACCTAAATGGAAGGGAGAGTGGTGAATAAAAGCGATGAGTGCTGGTAATTTGCGCCACACTGACCTCTCGAGACTGAAAACACATGGCTTCCAACGTAGCACGAGCCAAATGTTGCTTGGTCGAGTATTGCGTCAATCCTACTATGGTTCTAACAAGGTAATTCGTGGTTTTTGTGAAATGGTTAGCAAATAGAGAGAAAAAGGAATACCTGAAAAAGCGTGAAAGAAAAATAGCATTTGTCAACATCAACACAACTCAGTACATACCCACGAGCATCATCCCTCCAATAAGGAGCAAACAACCCTCCAAAAGCAGGCACGAAATACACTCCAGCAGTATCTTCAACCTCTCCAGCCAACTCATTAATCTCAGCAGACTCTTTGATAATGCCCAGATTGTCCCTCAACCATTTGATGGCTGCTCCTGCAATTTGTATCGATCCTTCTAGCGCGTAGATTACAGGAGAGTCTTTCCCAAGTTGATATCCAACCGTTGTGAGGAGTCCGTTTCGTGATATGACGGGTGTTGAGCCTGTGTTGAAGAGCATGAAACATCCTGTTCCGTAGGTATTTTTCACCTGTCCAATTTCGAAGCAGCGTTGGCCTACTAGGGCTGCTTGCTGATCACCCAGGCACTGTCCGTTGATAAATAAGAATCGTGTGAGGCAAGGAATTGATGACGAAAAAACTGTGCAACATCGCAGCTTGAGCTGTTGCTTACCCCACCAACCGGAACACCCTTCAAAGGACCTGATGCCATGACACCGTATACTTCAGCAGATGACACGATCTTTGGCAGTATGGATTTCGATATTCCAAAGAATCTAATGTGGTGAGAAGGTGAAACGCGGCAAAAAAAAATGACCTGAAACATCCCATACATCCAACAAGTGGTGGCTAGGAAATCCCATCCCATCAGAAGCACAACCTACCTGCATATACTATCATCCCAATCAAGAGTCTTTAGTGACATGAGCATAGTCCTGCTAGCATTCGTCACATCGGTAACATGCACTCCTCCATTTACACCACCTGTCAGATTCTAAAAAATCGAAAATCGACGTGAGTCCCAAGGCCAACCCATCATCGAAACACTCATCAGAGAACCACAACGTACATATATAAGCCACGAATCAACAGTTCCAAACATGAGCGTCTCATTCTTCATGGCAGATTCGACAAGAGGTACATGATCCAACAACCACCGTAGCTTGACACCTGAAAAGTAGGTAGAGAGCGGTAGTCCACATATAGGCTGCCAGTAGTCCGTTTTGCCGTTTGGTGTTGCTTCAGCGAGAGCTTCTACTGTTGGTGCTGTTCTGGCGTCCAACCAAACTATTCCAGAGTTTCAGTACGGTTGATGATAAAAGAGATGAAAGATTTGAGTTACCTATGGCGTTATGTAATGGTTTGCCAGTTCTCTTGTCCCAGACAACGGTTGTTTCGCGTTGGTTTGTGATTCCAATTCCTGAACGTGTTTAAGTTCTTGAGTATTGAGTTGCGATGAAGCAAACAGACAAGATTACAGTAGTTTACTACCTTTTACATCAGAGCGATGATATCCTTGAGCTTCCAGTTTGGTAAATGTCTTTTCAATACATCTTGTAACGGTCTCCAGAATGACCAATGGATCATGTTCTGCCCATCTAATGAGAGGGAGAAGTAAATTAGATATTTATACATACACATAGTCTACGTGAAAATCAACTAGAATTCATACCCAGCTCTGGGATAAATCTGTGGAAACTCTGTCTGATGGTGAGCTACATTCTTGCCGTTTTGATCAAACACGATGAATCGAGTTGATGATGTTCCTTGATCAATAGCTCCTAATAAGAAGTTGCTAGATGATGCCATCCGTATTATCCTATGATGGGTGATTCGTTGTCTGGTTGTTGTTTGATGGAGCTGTCGTAGAATGCTCCTCATCAACATTGGCGAACTCAAGTTGGGAAAGTAACTAGTGGAGAGGTAAATGATTGTTTTTAAGCAACTAGGACGTGTTTTTGAAAGTAATCACGCTCGTTTATTTGCTGCTATTGCGGATTTGCTCGTTGCTCATCAATCTTGTCGCATATTAGATTCTGATGCGTTTTCGCTGACTTCCTCAACAATGGGAGGACAAACTGGGAACTGTACCGTAGTATTTGTTAATCCTCCTTGTTAATTTGTTAATGATACCAATGTATATGAACGGCTCGAAGGCTGCTGGTCGAGACAACGTGCTGGTGTCTTTTGGGACAAGTGCTCAACTACAAACCAGTTCTGTGATGCGTTTGCTGCAATGCTGTACTGAACCATATAGCTAATAGCAATACACCCGAGATGGAAACCCTATTTGCACAGTTGGTCTGTTGAGCTGACGTGTATACTTCGACGTTTTACTGGCAACCTTTTGCTGCGGCAGCGGACTAACAACTAGGGTGAGAAGGAGAGGAACAAAATATTGTGGTAGTACATTCTCGACTTGCTTACGAGTCGACACACGTAGTCGAGGATGGCTTTTCTCCTTGCGATTGGGAAGGCGCTGTCCTTTGACAGAGCGTTATTTGTGGTTTGTCTGTTTTCACATCGTACATGGGCTCTGTATCTGTGGTGTTTGAATGTTTTGATTTTGTTTTGAATGTTTGAATCTGATACTACGCTCTGATCAAATCTCCAAAGTGAAGCCTTGATCTCCTTTCTACATGATGGAAATGTGTGACAGATGACTGCTGGTGCTGGTGGGCTCTTGTTTAGTAATCCGCCGGTACAAAGCATTCTGACTGGTTTATGCTTAAACTTTGGAATCATTTCTTGGACAAGCTGCGGGGCTTGACGTATTTTTAGAAACTATCAAGTACAATGTGTTTTGCCTGAGCAATACTTCCTTTTACAACTTTGATCCACCAATGAGACTTCCTTTCTCAGCAATCTCAAGAGCCAGAGCGCCCAACCTCGACTCTCCAGCAACAGTCTGCCCACCCATCTTCAAAAACCGATCCATCAATCTCTTTGCATCTGGATCTCCCAATGTGCGTTGGAAGATGTTTTGATCGATAATAAGGTCCTGAGTAACGTCTTTTTCTTGTCGGATGATTGCCGACTATGTAAAGGTTCATTGTGTTTCGCGTCAGGACAATCCAAGATGCTGCAACAAAATTGAATAGCAAATACGTGGAATGTACCTTGCAGGCAGCGACAGCACCAACAGGCATCTTAGCAATCCTCTTTGCAAGAGTGTATGCATGGTTTCGGACAGCTGCGGGCTGTAAAGTTCGGTTTACCCATCCCCATTTCTCGGCGGTGAGAGCATCGATATCGTCACAGCCAAGCATGACTTCGAGAGCTCGGCTTCGGTTGATGAGACGGGGGAGACGGGTCACTGTTGTGTTTGTAGTTGTGTGTTAGAAGGGGCGTGTTTGCATTCATGCTTGAGAGAAAAACATACTAGCTGATCCACCAGGAACGCTAAAAAAATTGGTCAGAGAAATCAGATGAATTTCAACATGGAGAACACGACTATATCTGTGCTACACGTACATTCCCAGAGCAACCTCAGGCTGGTTGAAGATGGCTGCAGTGCTAATGACATGCAAAGGAACGAGGTTAGCTTCACTCATTAAACAGATTCAGTTTGCATTCGATTTTTTTACCTTGCAAATCTCATATCACAAGAAGCCGCAAATTCTGAGCCTCCACCACCAACTCTTCCTAGACACGTTTTGATTTCAGCAACCTGATCTTTCTCGAAGGGGAGGTGGGTTCCACGACATACCTTCAATGACGGCAATAGTGACCTTTGGCATCGCTCGTAGACGTTCACACACTGCAAAAAAAGTAGGAATCGATCTTGGATCTTGAACTTAAGCGACACCACAAAATTACACGTACTCAACATCCAAGCACCCAGCTCAGTACTTTCAGCAGCATTGGTGTGCGATGGTGGTGGGAATGTCAAAATTAGAGAGCTAAAAAATCGGAGAACGTCAGTTGACCCATGTGTTTCTGGCAGCCACAGCTTCTCATACGACAATCTCCGAGTCAGCATGAAACTCACACATCGAAATGAGCGATAAAGAACCCAGGAGTAGCAGAGATAAACACCACAACACGGACGTTAGTGTCGTTTTGTAATTCCTCCACGGTCTGTAATCATGTAAGAAATACGTTGAGCAAATGGTCCAAATCATTCCAAAATAAGCAGATATAGTTACTTTAGACATTTCTCCATACATCTCAGCGGTGAAGATGTTCATGGCACTATGATTCGTGAAGAGGTTGATGAGTTTCACAAGCTTCGTCAATCGAGTACGAGAAGTAAGAAGAGCTCATCCAGATATAAAGTGGCTGCAGGATGTAAGAGAACTTGTAACGTACCCATTCTGAATAATCACGTCTATGCAAAAAAAACCGTTGGTCAAAACTAGTTAACTTGTTTTTGAAACCACCAAGCACTTACAAGCAACACCGTCATCGACACGGACTCTTAAACACTTCAGGTTCTCGTAAGGCATATTTCGATTCTTTATGACTACTCCCTTTATACTGTATAACTAATTCCGTCAGGAGCCTGAATGTTTCGAATCGTAACACGAAAATCCCACACGTGTAATAAATGGCAATTAGAGATTTAGCGTATCTTGCTGTATTTGAATCGTAACGAATGCTTTAATACGCGCCAAATCGATTAAATTTTGTAGGTGTCGTCTCGCCTCCATCCTCTGCAACACTGTTGAAAGTGAAATTGCGTCCAAAGTGGGGGTGATGCCAGAACAATGGGACAAAAGCTATTAACACTTTCAAATGAAGAGGAAACCGTAATTCATATTCTTCTCCTCTAGAGTGAAGCAAAACAAGTATGCACCGGTACGTCATGTCTCCTCCTTGTCATGGGTCAGACTTCTCATCATACTACACATTTATACAGCAACCCTTCCATACTCCAATATCTTACACGTCCGTTCCTCATTAAAATCCCTCACAACCAAGTCACCTTCCCAGATCCCGCAAAGTTGAAACACTATTCATCACCAACCATGACCTTACTCCCACGCAAGCGGTACTACCACACACGTCCAAAGTGAAACAACAGTTTCCTGAGCCTTGAGCAATACAGCTTTCTGTCTGTTAGACGCGCACGACCAAGAAAATGCGTATGAAGCGATGATTTACGGGGCTTTTTTTGGCTTGTTGTGCATGCCCAATATAGGTGAGAAGGTTGAGAGCCATACGACGGAAGCTTTTGGTCCATTCCAATGACTTTATTTCAGCTGATGCGATGAATCCGCCTGTCTGTTCTGGGGGAGGACAAAAACAGAGTGCGTTTTTAAATGATTATGAGTGCCGGTGTCAGAACTTGTGTAAATACTTGGCAGTTCCCTCCTCAGCAGCCAATACATTCTCAACAACCCTCCATGTTATGACTGTTGCGACCATCAAACAGTCAGTTGAAGTCCGTATCCAGCAGTGTATAAAGTCTGCGTAAATCATGGTGGTCAACATCTATGAGCAAGAAAGCGGCTGCGTTGTTCCATCGTCACAAGGAGGATTCAGAAAGTCCATACAACTATCCGTACATGAAGGTTGACGGTCCATTGTGAGCACACATCGTCTATTGTCTCAGAAGGAAGTGCGTTAGATAAGTAGGTTCCAGGATGATATGTACACATACAATTGAACCAAAGCGGTGCTTTAGTGAAAATGGCGCCCTTCCTGAAGGTAATTCAAAACAAAAAAACCATATGGCGTGATGACGGATGCCTTTGACTGTTGCGTGTCAGGCCTCTATGTTCCACACGATAAATACATATACAATCACCTTCCTTCCATCTATGTACACCCTGTCACTCCAAATAACTTACAACATCTTCTCCTCATTAACAATCTCACCCAACAAATCCACCTTCCCAGACCCCACAAACTCGAAAGAGTGTCCATCACCAACAGTCACCTTCCTGCCCAACGGAAACGGCGGTACCAGCCAATACTTCCACACATGTCCAAACACTTGAACCACATTCCTCTTAAACCCCAAATCATATGGATTCTTGTCTCCTCTCAGACGAGTCCCGACAAGGAAATTGGATTCTTTGCGATGCGATACTTCGATTGTGGTTTGGTTTGTGCATGCCCAGTATAGGTGGGAGGATGTGAGGAGCCATACGACGGATGCGATTGGCATGAGCATGACAATGTCCATGCCGATGACGATGATTTCAATGTCTGTCGCGATGAATTCGCCTGCCTGTTTAGAGACGGTGTTGGGTGTAAGAAGAGAGGAGAACAACCATGGTAACAGGAGGAGCATGAGTTCTGATATCGATAGTCTTTCGGCTACCTTGGTAGTTCCCTTCTCAATAGCCAATACAATCTCAACCAGTCTCCATATTATGATCGTAGCGACCATCAAGCAGCCAATTGAAGTCCATATTAGAAAGCGTAAGAAGTCTATACAAGCGCAAAGGAAAATACTGGTCAAAAATGGAACAAGCGAAAAAATCGAATCATGGACTAGACATACGAGCATGATTGAGGAAGCCCACACAATTGTTAGTCCAAGGACAATGATGGTCCATTCTCAGGACACATCGCCGACAATCTTTACAGTGATGCGTTCTTGGTGGTTTGTAGTTCTGGCAAGACCTGTTATGTGGGTGTTTGCCATTTTTGTACTTTGTTTTGTTTTCATGGGATTTGAGCAATACTTACTGGCAGAACCTAGGAGGCTGTATCGATTGCGATACCTGGATTGATACACTAGAACAAGAAGGTGTCAGTCGTTTGAATCTCCTGGTGTCAAACTTGACGTCTTACTCTGTTCCAACATTCGGTTCCGTTGGTGGAGCATCATGAGAGTACCAGCCCTTCCGAACTCTACCAGGATCTAGATCCATCACAGGTTTAGTTCAATGAATGATATCAAGCACTACGAAAGCACTATACCAGTAACAATTGCCAGAGCGTAGTTCAAGAACATCCCAACCCCAACTCCGTTATATCCAACCACCTTCAATACAATCAGCAGGATACTTTGATTCAGTATCCAGGGTATGAATAAAGCAAACTCGACACTGAGACCGATCAGGAATATCATGAATAGCGACAAGACAACGAAATGAGAGTAGTTGGTGCCCTCCATCCATTCTTAAGAGCGCAGGGGTGGCTAGAGTATCAGAGGAGGATGCAAGTAATGCGATGGGGGCTATGCTTTTTAAAGGCGAGCGACCGGTATTGAAAACATTGCGTTCTCACTTATTTTTGGGAGTGATGACAAAAGTGTAACATCCAAACACACAACCACCGGAAAAAGTGGAGGAAGGGAGAGGGACGAGTAACTGACAAGGATGGCGTCAAATAGTGCAGCGCCCCCTAGTGCAGCACCTGCTGCTCCCTCGCCAATAATAGCTCCATCGCCAGCACCAATAGCTCCATCTGCTGCACCGGCAATTCTCGCTTCTGCTGCTCCCTTAGTGGTGGCATCTCCGATAGCATTAGCTCCTACTTCTGCATCGCCTATTCAAACAACTCTGATACTATCTCCTACAAATGACGCGGTAACTAGTCTCTGTACATCCACCTCATCGTGCATCAAACCTTATTTCTCACAATTTCACCATTACTGCCACACATAGCCTTCCCCACAACAAGCTCTTATACAGTCAAGTCCTTCTGCGACTGCTTTGAGTGTAGGAGGAGGTGCATCGCCCTTAACTGGTGGTGCTCTTATTGGCGTCATCTTTGCTGCTCTAATTTTCGTTGGTGGTAAGTATTGCTCACTTCGCAGTTTTCAAAGTCCGGTTGATTGTGCTGGTTTGATGCGGAATGAGAGAAAAGCACATCATCAGTGATTCTGAACCGTGTGGTGTGAGTACGGTTTGCTGATCTGCCCCTGCGTTGCATAGTGTTTGTGCTGGGAATGGTCTCTTGGATTATACGACGGAACAAGGAAAGGCAGCCAGACAACATTATACCATATAGAGACGATGGTGAGTAAACATGGTCCCGCATGCTGTATATACACAGTCCCAGGAATGTTTGTCAACCAATCGCATTTAATCTCACACTGTGCTTGTAGGAGATACTCCACCACCAAAGGAACCAAAACCACCACCACTCGATGCCCCTCTCAACGTCTACAACGTGACAATTAAACCCACACACTTATCAGAAGCCGATTTCAATGTAAAAGCAAAGCTCAACAACAAGACAGGGTTTTATCACTGGGCTGCTGACGAAGCTGCACGCAAAGAAATGGAAAACAAGGGCAAACGAGTATCGATGAATATCCACTACCAGTCGAATTATCTGACAGAGTATCAGCCAACGGATATCGATAAGCCTGTACCTGCACCTCCAGCAGATGAGATTGCCGCCCAGAAATATGATGGTCGCAAGTCTGTCGGGGGAATGATGAATGCAATGGAAATGAAGAGCATGAATAATAATCACCCGTTGCCGTCAACGCCACCACCAGGTTTAGATCAATTGCCTGACCAGCATCCATCTAAAAACCCTGCATTCTCGCCTGTCATGCCCGGCTGGTACGATGCAGCGGGCAACTGGCTCGGGTTTACGACCAACCAGTACAACAATACAGGTGGCAGCATGTATTTCTTCCAACCACCAGCATCGTCATCCCTCTATAACGCACTCCCACAAGCATATTACGAAAAGATGAATGAAGCTTCATCTCCAATCCCCGACGATGCATCTGAATTAGATGCAATAGTAGAGCCACAACCCCAACAGGTGCTACGCCGCTCATCAACTCCATCGTCCTCATCGTCATCACGATCAAGTAGAAACCGTTCATCATACCCACCTTCAGGACTGGAAGTATCTACAGCACCAGGCATAAACCGTCCCCGAAACAAGAACTCCATACGGAATCGTAATAGTCTTGTTGTGCCTCCAGCTGTTATGTCGACTAGTCCATCACCGCCTCCTACATCACCTGTTAGGAGGCCATCACCGTTATCATCGTCATTTAGTGCTGGTGAAAGTAGTGATGATGAAGAATTTGATACTGTAAACCATACTTCTGATACCCCCACAGCTTCTGTTATACCCATAGATAATACAAAAGATGTGGAAATCATAGTTAATAATAATGATGCTGCTGCTTTACCGGTAGTAGCAGCTGCTGCCGAACAAGATGAAGTAATAGTGGTGTCGTCGGATAAGACAGCAGTGATGAAACAGAAATCTGTTCGAATGATTGACCAGCCTGTTGCTCGACCAGAGTCTATTCACATAGTGGAACAGCAACCGTCCACTAGTAGTAAAATGGAGGCTGTTACCGAACACACTGTATCTGCATCATCCAACCGGGACCATGTAATAACAGTAGACACAACATCCCCAGTAAAAGTCCCCGACCACCCAATAATCAAACACGTCACGACAATATCCAAATCCATATACCTCCCACCCCCAATAACCACCACCATAACAGCCCCGACCATAATAACAAGCAGCGAAATGTCACCACCCGAACTTGAAACAACTGAACACACATCCCTGATTCCTGCACGTCCTGCATCACCCACTGAGCCTATAATACGGGGAGAAAGACCAGAGTCGCCACCTGTACCAGACAAGGACGATGTTATGGAACGCCCGATATCGCCATCAGGAAGGATTGTGATTGTGCCACAGTCGTTTAGCAAGATGATGGGTGTGAGGACTGGTGCGGCGGCAAAGAAACCTGTTGCGAGGAGGGAGGTTAAGAGGCCCATGTCGCCGCCGTTGCCTGAGAAGGATGATGGGAGGCCTGTGTCTCCTCCGCCGCCACCAAAAGATTGATTGAGGTCTAGCTTGGTGGGAGGGCACGAAATATGTATACCAATGGTGAAGAGAATCTAGTCTTGAGGAAATTCTGGAACGTGTTATAATATTGAAACTGTTGTGATGAAGAGGAAGCAAACGTTGGAGTTTTATATCTAGTTAGTCTTGTTGCTTTTACTATCCCTCTATTACCCTTACATACAAACTTTTTTCATAATGCTATTACAAATACCACATGTGAGCGATAGCTGCTGTGAGTTGGTTTTGTTTCAGGTGTGAATTTCAGACACATAGGATAGGTTTTTGTGAGATAGACCGTGGTATTGAGGACATCGAAAACGCCACTTTATGCACCAATAATGCAACAGCGCCCGCCCACATACACTGCTCATCCTCAAACACCGTATCTAACAACTCCTCATCCCACACTTGACATAAGCAGATGTCCCTTCGGTCCCACACACCGAGCCTATCTTTTTAAGCAGGGGTTTCGACGGTGGTGCATTAGTTGTTAGAGATTTTGGCACTCCAAGTGGTAATCGCTCGAAATTTTACAATACAAAAGACAGGTTTGTTGGTGCTGCATGCAAAGTGTCGGTAATAGAAGCACAGGCACATACAGAATGACCGGTATAAGAAAACAACTTCTTCCATAAGAGAAGCAATCAATCATGTAGCTTGTTGCTTTCGTCCCTTTGCTCACGATCCAGGTTCTATCAACCGAAAAATGCCGATTAGAAGAATCGCAATGATCTTACAAAGCAACCAGCCCAGACTCAATCATACCAGAATTGATGCTCTACATCAAACATTATACAAGACTTCAATTTCCGACACACCACTAGACTGCAAGTCAATCCAACTTTAGGCAAGGCTTCTGAGCTATCAAGGATCGGAGAATAGAGCCATCACAACTTTGCGGCGGAAGAATTGGATGCTGGTACTCTGCTGCCCGTTCTGCCACTTCATCTGTACAAATTCCTATAACAGAGCTATGAAAACTCAGAAAAAAAATTGGTTAGTACAACGTTGCAGCAAAACTTCAATACAGCCACATCAGAATGGAAGAGCGATC